TCTCTCTCTCTCTCTCTCTCTCTCTCTCTCTCTCTCTCTCTCTCTCTCTCTCTCTCTCTCTCTCTCTCTCTCTCTCTCTTCCTCTCTCACTCAGTGCCCTGGCCAAATTGGCTTAGGCTACGTGTGATGGAAATCTGGACAGAATGCTGGCTATATTCAGATGTGCTACGGCGTTTGATAAGGTAGCCGACAGGCTGGCTAGCCGGATACCGGGGCGCCTGGTTGGTTCCATTGCAAGTTTTGAGCTTGGTTGCTGAGCGGATTTTACTTTGTTGGCACGTTCGGCTGTATTTTATTTTATGTTTTATTTTATTTTATTCTATTCTCGAAAATCGGATCGTTTTGTCGTTTTGGGAGACTAGCTACCGACTTGGGACCTAGATTTTTTTCGGAAGCTGGACCCGTGGCCCACTTGGATCTATAGATATAGATTTTGAATGTGTTCTATAATTCAGGTTAGGTGCGGGGTGTTTTTCTCGTAGTCGGGTAGAGCGTAGTGCCTCTTGGATCCGGCGCTCTCGCGAGCAGTCGGTAGCGGATTTACAGTTGACTAATTTGGGGTCTTGATGACTTTTCGCTTGGCTTAACGACTACGCCCACAGACTTCTTGTGGTACAACAGATGCTGTGATTGCGGAAGGGCATAGCACGCTTATTTAACTAGGAAGGCACGGCTTAGGCCTTCTCATGAGCACGCAAACTCGTAGAAGTTCACCCTCCTGATGAGACCCCGTTGGTGGGCGGAGCGAAACCGGTTGAGGGATGCCACTGTGCTTGGCTATGGTGGTCATGAGTGGCCGTTTGCAGAAAGCATTCAGGCTTTTTTTAAATTACTATTCTTTTTTGCATTTCTGTGTTCATGTCACTCTTTTGTTGGGACTGTTTTGCCGCAGTCTGCCAACTCTTTGGCGAGTAGTAACCGGCAGCGGGAGATGCTATTCGGTCGCTTCTTCTACGTGTTTGCGACAGTTAGTCGAGGTGAGTCTTCTTACTTGGTAAGTTTCTTTCATGGTTCGTCGTCGCGCTTATGATCTGCGACGACTACGTGTTTCCGGCAAGTTATTCGAGGCGGTTGCACGGTTTTCGACGTTTTTGGAGATAATTCCCACTTGGCAAGTTGCTTTCGAGGCTCGAGGCTGCGCGTATGAGGAGCACGTTTCTCTAGCCGCGGCTTAGCGCTTATGTGAGATCGCTAGCTAGAGCGGTTGGTCTGTCCAGCTTGGGGCGCTAGGGTATACGCAGGCTAACTACTCGGGTGTGATCGAGCCGCTTCACTTGGTGGCAAGGGCAACAGTGTGGTTACGGACTGGGTATAACCCGGGGATGGGTAGGAAGGTCGCTTCATTGACAATCCCACGTTTGCTGATGAGTGGTGTAGGACTGATTCTGATCGGTCTAGGGCTTCTCGTAATTGGCGCTGCATTTTAAATACAAGGATGCCGGTTTGGCGTAGGACTGGTGGTGAACGTAGAAGTTGCGATAGAATCCCGTTTGTGATCCGGGTAAGATTGGTTCGTGTGTTAAACCGATTTGTAGAGAAATGATCCGACCCTTGTTTTGTCTAACGGGGCTAGTTGGGGACGAACAGCTTAGGGACCGGTTTTATGATAAGCTGCTTCGAGCTCTGGTTGGGGTGGAGAGGGCGATTTTAATTCCTAGAAAGCGTAGGAGGGTTCAAATCATTGAGGTCGTGGATATCTGGAGAAGTTGACGGGTTGTGCGTGGGTTGGCTTGTGGTTTAGGACTTCCGGTTCTTGGGATAGCTCTTATCGATAAGGTTATACAGTGGGATCGGGTTCAACGGATTGGCTGAGCGTTGGCGGGCGGAAGCTTTTCGGGTTCTGACAATATGTTCCTAACCAATGGCCCGGGAGGGAATAACTCGGGGACATATGGAAATGGCGGCGGGGGTTACAATGGATCTGGATACAGCGATGGTAGAAGTGGTGCGCTAGCGAATAGAGGTACGACTGGTGGAGGAGGTAACTACGGTACCGGCGGAAACGGTGGGGGCGGGCCGAGCGGAGTATGCTACAACTGCGGTAAACTTGGGCACTTCGCATGTGATTGTTGGTCACGTCGCGGTAGACCCTTCCAAAATAATTTTGGTGATCTTGAGTTGGAGGAGATCAAGGAGCATCATAGGCAAGCTAGAAAGGAGCACATCGAACAGGAGGAGAAGAAGAGGGTTGAGGAGGAGAAAAGAGTGAAGGAAGAGGAAGAGAATCGTAGAAATCAAGATTTCGTGCGGAAGATGGAGGAATTCAAGCTACAACTACGGGTCGATTTGAATGAAGAATGGCGCAAGAAGAGCTCTGAAGCTGAGAAAGCCATGACCGAGACTAAGAAGAAGACGGTAAGACTGAACCATTGTTCACGATAGAAGAAAAGTAAAGGGAAAGGGCGAAGGATGAAGAGGAAACACTATGTGCTCACCAGTGATGACTCTTCAACCGATGTGTCGTCCTTTTCGGAGGATTCGAGTTCCCTATCAAGTGGTTCTAGTGATGAAAGGACATGCGTGAAAGTGACCAGGGGAAAGGGGAAGCGGCGTATCTAACCGGGCTAGTTGGGGACGAACAGCTTAGGGACCGGTTTTATGATAAGCTGCTTCGAGCTCTGGTTCGGGTGGAGAGGGCGATTTTAATTCTCAGAACACGTAGGAGGGTTCGAATCATTGAGGTCGTGGATATCTGGAGAAGTTGACGGGTTGTGCGTGGGTTGGCTTGTGGTTTAGGACTTCAGGGTTTTGGGATAGCTCTTATCGATAAGGTTATACAGTGGGATCGGGTTCAGCGGATTGGCTGAGCAGTGGCGAGCGGAAGCTTTTCGGGTTCTGACAATCTGTTCCTAACCAATGGCCCGGGAGGGAATAACTCGGGGACATATGGAAATGGAGGCGGGGGTTACAATGGATGTGGTTACGGCGACGGTAGAAGTGGTACGCTGGCGAATGGAGGTACGACTGGTGGAGGAGGTTACTACGGTACCGGCGGAAACGGTGGGGGTGGGCTGGGCGGAGTATGCTACAACTGAGGTAAACCTGGGCACTTCGTACGTGATTGTTGGTGACGTCGCGGTAGACCATTCCAAAACAATTTTGGTGATCTTGAGCTGGAGGAGATCAAGGAGCATCATAGGCAAGCTAGAAAGGAGCGCATCGAACAGGAGAAGAAGAAGAGGGTTGAGGAGGATAAAAGAGCGAAGGAAGAGGAAGAGAATCGTAGAAATCAAGATTTTGTGCGGAAGATGGAAGAATTCAAGCTACAACTACGGGTCGATTTGAATGAAGAATGGCGCAAGAAGAGCTCTGAATCTGAGAAAGCCATGACCAAGACTAAGAAGAAGACGGTAAGACTGAACCATTGTTCGCGTCGAAGAAAAGTAAAGGGAAAGGGCGAAGGATGAAGAGGAAACACTATGTGCTCACCAGTGATGACTCTTCAACCGATGTGTCGTCCTTTTCAGAGGATTCGAGTTCCCTGTCAAGTGGTTCCAGTGATGAAAGGACGTGCGTGAAAGTGACAAGGGGAAAGGGGAAGTGGCGTAGTAGGGGGAAGTCGAAGCAAGGTAAGGGGAAGGAAAACAGGAATTCACCGCCGATGAAGGTCATACCGAGAAAACACGAGACAGGCGAATGCTCCAGGAGGGAGCGGGTCTTGGGGAAAGGGAGTGGGGTGCGGGAGACTGTAGCGGGTGGGATGGAGAAATCGGAGGAGGGGGAACCAAAGACACCGCTGACAGGGGGGTACAAAGGACTGTCAGGAGGATGTTCGCAGAAGGGCTTAATAGATTATTGCATTTTTGCTCATAAGATCTACTCAGCTAAGAAAGCGCATGCTCTGAGGAGGATCTGCGAGAGGAGGGGTATCAAGTACACAACGAAACCGGAATTTGTGGAACAACTTGCGAGGCAGCAGGTGGAGTTAGCCTACGAAGGTTTCGAAGAGGGTATGGGCAAAGGAGAGGAGACGTTGGGGGAGCAGGCTGCTTCGCCGAAAGCTGACGTCAACAGAAGTAAAACTGTGCATGTTTCTCCGACGGCTCGAAGGCCAAGGGTAATTTTGAAGTCGGCAGCAGTGCAACCTGAGGAGGATTCGAGTTGACTAGAAAAGCCACCTTCGACTTTGGATCTCTGGGAATCACTCAACACCTGGATCTCCCATAGATCTGAGCTACGAAGGGATAGCATGACAGGTGAGGTAGCTAGGAAGGTAGAAAGTGTGATCGCAACAACGACGGTACTTTTAGCGGTTCGGGGACAGATACCTTGGCTCGAGAAGTCCATTGCTAGGGCAGGTGACTTGTCTAGAATGCTGGGCTTGAACACGCCAGGGTGTATGCTATCGTTAGCCCTTGGGCTAGGAAGACGTATGTGGGATGCACGGTTCGCCCGATTATACAAAGGTGGAGAGAGCACTGCCGCAACACAGCAAATAATGCTATGGGGCTAGCTCCACATCTTTATCGGTGGTTACGGGCATACGGCCTAGAAAGATACGTGGTTATTCCTCTGCGACACGCAGGTAAGGATGATGATCTTATGTTCGAGAAATTTTTGATCTCTGATTTTTGCCCGAGCTTAAACTCGCGTGACTTGAATTTGAAGAAGGAGGGTAGGAGAAAACTTAGAAAGAGGAGGCGGGAGAGAAAGGGGAGAGCTTGTTAGATGAAGATGGAAGAAACGGTGAGCTTTCGCGATGGCGACTCAAGTTTTGTGTCACTGGTTGGGTGGCTGAATGCTCACTGCGAGGGCCACACGCCGAGGATTATTGAGGTAAGGAAGGGTATGAACTGGGTGGACAATTGGCATAAGATCAAGCGCCTGCTTGGCGGTTCATTGTGAAGGTTGGCGGCATTGTGTCATCACAAAGGCGGGTTAAGAGGCAACTGCAGCAAGGAACCCATCTTGAGCTCTTGCGAATTGTGAAGACAAAGACAACCACTGAGAAGAATAAAGCCTTTTTAGCTGGTCTTCTTCGGAGGCCTAGGCCTATCTCGCAACTCTGTCGTTTTACGACGAACAAGCTGATAGGCTTGTATCGTGCGGCGGGCCTCTTTACGGAGAAGAAGACCAAGCAGCTTTTGCATCTCAGGATCGACAGAGCGCTGCACAGGAAGACGGGCGTAAGTATAAGGAAGCGCATTAACATCAAGGTTTCGTATGCGTCCAATGTTAGGAAGAATGCCATCAGGAAAACCGCCGAAGGTATGGTCAGCGAAAGGCTGTCGGACGCAAGGCTAGCGGACTTCGTAAAGACCCGCATTCGGGTGATCTGAACACGTAACAAATCGGTCGGTGAAATCATATGGAACCAGAAACTGTATGCGACGAACGCTGAGGTGGTCTGCTGCTATGACCGCTTCTCGCTTCCGAAGGTTGCAGGCCATGTACAGACTCGCTTTTCAGAGTTGTCAGGGGATCTCGTGCCAGCGTTCGTACGTAACGCTAAGAACATCACGAGGCTCGGACGAAGGCTACGGAACGAGGCAGTGTTGCAGGCTATCCTAGATGCGATGAAGCATCTGAAAGGGGACGTGGGGCGGGTGGATCTGCTGCCAGGATCTTTCTGTCACGGTTGTGGAGAGCATCGATCGCTGACGTGGACGGATGATGCGGTAAGAGACTGGGGAAATAAATTTGGAGGGCTAGTGCTTACTCAGATTGACAGGAACATCGAGGATACGACAGTATTTTGGCCATGCCTGTATAGGCACGGGTTCAGGAAGTTGTTTACTTGGAACACTAATTACCGCACGGTGGGGAGTGCGGATGAGGAGGCTGAGTTGCTGAAGAAGTACAAGGATGATTTTAGGGAATGCGGGCTGGAGGGTATCGAGAGGTGGAAGCCCGACGGAAGGTTAGGCTCTGCCTATGTAATTCCTAAACATAAGGATCTGGAACGATGGAGACCCATCGCTCCAGCCCCAGTGGATCCGGCGCAGAAAAGAGTGGCGAGAGCTTTGCACACGCTACTATACCGGCTGCCGGTTCACAATTCCTTCTATCTAAATTTTATTTCTGAGTTGGCGGATCGGTTGAAGGTAACGACGGAGAGACTGAGGGCGAGGGGCTGCACTAAGGTGGAAGGACGCTGCTACGACATTAAGGAGATGTTCTCCCGGATCCCACACTCAGCTATCATCAGTTCGGTGGAATGCTTGCTGAGAGAATACGTCGATAGAGGTTGGAAGTGCGTGAAGGTTTCTTTTCGGGGGAAGGCTTGTGTGATCAGCAAAACGAAGAGAAAACTGGATGGTTATGTCAATATTTGCCCTCCTGCTCTGCTCCAGGCGGTGCGTTATAATCTACAGCACTCTTCTATCAAGTGTGGGGACAAGTTGATGCAGCAGGTCTTTGGAATCCGTATGGGGAAGTCCACTAGTCCGATCCTTCCCTCTATCACTTGCGCCATCTCTGAGAGGAACTTGCTTAAGACTCTGGGCAGCGACAGGCTGCTCGTTGGAGGATGGAGGATCATGGATGATATCTCCGTTATTGTGGGCACTTCAAACGCGTCCATTTGCTGTCTGGATGAGATTTTTAAAGCCTTTGAGCAATGATATGATACCAATCTGGAGGTTATCCGTAAGGACGAATGCGGTTTCACCTGGCCTTTCGTAGGCGGGACTTTCTTCATCTGTAGTAAGTTGCTGCAGTTACACTTCGTCCCAAACGGTAAGAACACGGACGCATTATACGAATAAGGCAAGTTGGTCTTCCATACCATGCAAGACTATAGCTCGTATTCGGACAAGGCAGTTAAGAAGGCGGTACTAGCTGCAGCGATCCGGAGATTGTGGGACCAGACTACGTGCAAAAAACAGGTTCAAGGCACAATCGCTTTCGCTATTTGCGAAGCTGACCTCCGGGGATATGCCCCCAGAGGTCTCTCTCCGTGCCCTGGCCAAATTAGCCAAGGCTGCGTGTGATGGAAATCTGGAGAGAATGCTGGCTATATATTCAGATGTTCTACGGCGTTTGATAAGATAGCCGGCAGGCTGGCTAGCCGGATACCGGGGCGCCTGGTTGGTTCCATTGCAAGTTTTGAGCTTGGTTGCTGAGCAGATTTGACTTCATTGGCACGTTCGGCTGTATTTTATTTTATGTTTTATTTTATTTTATTTTATTTTATTCTAAGTTTTATTCTCGAAAATCGGATCGTTTTGTCGTTTTCGGAGACTAGCTACCGGCCTCGGGACCTCGACTTTTTTCGGAAGCTGGACTCGGGGCCCACTTGGATTTATAGATATAGCTTTTGAATGTGTTCTAGAATTCAGGTTAGGTGCGGGGTGTTTTTTTCATAGTCGGGTAGAGCGTAGTGCCTCTTGGACCCGGCGCTCTCGCGAACAGTTGGTAGCGGATTTACAGTTGACTAATTTGGGGTCTTGATGACTTTTCGCTTGGCTTAACGACTATGCCCTCAGACTTCTTATTGTACAACAGATGCTGTGACTGCGGAAGGGCATAGCACGCTTATTTAACTACGAGGGCACGGCTTAGGCCTTCTCTTCGAGCACGCAAACTCGTAGAAGTTCACCCTCCTGATGAGACTCCATTGGTGGGCGGAGCGAAACCGGTTAAGGGATGCTACTGTGCTTGGCTATGGTGGTCCTGAGTGACTGTTTGCAGAATGCATTCAGGCTTTTTTGAAATTACTATCGTTTTTTGCATTCCTGTGTTCATGTCACTCTGCTGCAGGGACTATTTTGCCGCAGTCTGCCAACTCTCTCTTTCTATCTCTCTCCTCTCCCTTTTCGTGGACTGTATCTCTCTCTCTCTCTCTCT